GCCCCTCCGCGCCCTGGCGTTGCTCGGAGATGCTTTCCCCACGTAACGTTCCCATCTCTTCCGAATTTTTCTTGCGTTTCTGGAGTGGAATCAGCTACAGATGGGAGAAATTATAATCAGCGTTTTAATTGCAGCGCACAGCTTGACTCTTATTAATATTCAGAAAACCAGGAGCTTTGTTGGAGCGCTCCAGCCTCCGTCTCTGCCTCCTCCCCGCGCTGCGAGGACGCCCATCCACACCCCGCTTGCTCGTGCTCCTAAATCCTGAGCTAATAACCCGGTGCTGCTGGAAAATTATCCTTTTTTTCTCTGGCTACGTCCTGGTCCCAGTGGGCCAAGAGCAGAGGGAGCGCGATGCCGTTTGCAACCTGTTCCGAAGGGCTCGTCGGCCCCGTGCGGAATTCCTGCCAATGTTCCTCCCAGTAAATCCCAGCCGGAGCGGACCTCGGTGCTCCGTGTCAAGTGGCTGCACACGCCTTTGTACAAGCTAATAATTTCATTTTTTATTTTTTCTTTTTTTTTTTAAACAGGGGCTGATTAGCTCATTAAGAGTAAACTAATTTTCTTTGGAAATCAGCAGCCTTCTAATTAATTGGCATCCATATTTAGCCGAACGTAATTAAGGTAACCTAGATACTGCAGATCTGCTCGGGATTTGATTTGCTGCCATCATTTTTTTTTTTTTTGCCCACATCTCTGCCCTCTGTTCTGCTCAGAGATGCCCACCAGAACCCCCTCCCTGCTTTATGCTCCCAGTGACAGCGCGTTTGCATACGCTGGGCCATATGTTCCTCTGCCCGCACATCAGAGATGCCGGTTCCTCGCGTATTTACGGAGCCGTCACGGGGATGTGTAACCACTTCTGCAAAGCTGCGGAGGTTGGAAGGATGGAGCATGGCTGCATTTTGTTGTCCCGTCCTCTCCACCCAGCACTGCAGCAGAGCTGGGCCAGGACTCCAAAATTCCAGAGCTTCGGTCACTGGGAGCCAGCATCCCCCCAGCACCGCAGAGGTTTTGTGCTATAAATATCCCCGGAGAGCGGGCGAAGGAGGGTTTGTGCGCTGCTGCTCGGGCTGATGCTCAAGGAGATGACGATTTGCTCCCCAAACCATAGCGACAGAAGGATTTGGTCTGGGGAGGGGACATCAAAAATGCTTCTTTTGAGTCAGCAACAACCCATTGCTGGGTTGAGCTCCATCGTCGTGAGAAAAATCCAATCTTGCTCAGAGGGTGCAGTGACAGAAGGATTTGGTCTGGGGAGGGGAGAGGAGACCACATCAAAAATGCTTCTTTTGAGTCAGTAACAACCCATTGCTGGGTTGAGCTCCATCATCGCGAGAAAAATCCAATCTTGCTCAGAGGGTGCAGTTCTGCAGGAAGGCAGCTCGGTGCAATTACCTCCTCACCTGTGGTCCAGCATGGACCACACTTCTGCTCCATCTGCTCCGACACACTCCCGAGCCACCCCCCTACTCTGCCTTGTGAAGGGATGTGTGAACGGAGCGGGGCTGGGCGAGCAGGACCCATGAAAGGACAGAAGAGTCAGGATTTGGGCTTTGTTTTTTAAAAAAAATCTGTGCAAAAATCCCAGAAGCATCAGGAATAGTGTGGCTACATATTTTTTAGCAGAGAATGTGCTTAACTGGGAGATTCTGAAATCAGAGGTTTTACAGCAGTGTTTTCCTCGCTGCTGCACATCCCTGAACGCCAACACTGAACCCATCATCACCATCATCATCAGCGGCACAAAGTCACCCATGGAGGAGCCTTCACCTCTTCTGGGCTTTCCAGCACTCCAGGGTCTGTTTCGTGGCATTTCCAGGTTTTTATCGGTAGCGACGAAGCATTTATCTTCCTCTGGAGTGAAAGCTGTGGCTCTCGCATCCATGTGTGACCCCAGAGCTGGGATGGGGCCGTGTAGCCCCAGGACCACCCGCTCTCCCCTTCCCAGTGACTTTCCAGCCCTAAACTCTTGTCTTCAGCTTGGGTCCCTTTAGTCTCCCAAACGCTTCAGCGTTATCCGAACGCGCGGGGAGCCCCGGAACACGCCGGCCAAGGAAGGGACAAACACATGGCACTTTTTGGAGGTGCTGCATTTGCAGCCCTGAGAGCTGCTCTGCTCCCCGTCCCAGGGCTGGGACAGCTTTTAACAGCAGTTATTAAATTAAAAAATAAATTAATGTGCCTGTGCTGCAGCTCACCTGCACTCAGGAAGCTCGGAGAACCGACGTGCTTTGAGCAGCACTGAGGCTTTCCCAGCCCTGGGATAGCCAAAACAACTGGGGAAAAAACAGCTCCAGCAATATGTGGGTTTATTTCAGCTGTGCCTTGTTTAATTGGCTTCATATAAACCAGGCTGGGGGGTGAGGAGGGGAGAAGGTCTGAGGGTGGTTGTTTTTCAGCTTGCTGGGGTGGCCATGGGCTGTTGCTGGGGGAGGGTGGCTGGTGTTGCTCGTGCTGCAACAGGAGGGTTTTTGTTTCTCCAGGGGATGAGGATTGCTTGTTTTCCCCGGCCAGACAATGTTATCTGCCTGCGTGGCTGAAGGAAGCAGCGAGCAGGAAAGGGGAGTCTCTGTTTACATGCAGGAAGCTGAAGTCCGAAGCTGTTTCTCATGCCAGTGCTGCCAGTTGTAGCTGTGCTTGTTGTGCTCGAGCTGCCTGTGGTGTGGGACTGGTCCCTCGCCCGGGGGTGGATGGCTGTGCTCCTGGTGTGAGCAGGGGGGTCCCAGGGGGCTGTCAGACGACCGAGCCCTGCTGTGTCCCCATGTCTCTTTCTGCTGCCATGGGGGTCTGGACAAGCCTGCCTGGAGCAGGGCAGCCCATGGATATGACAGACCCATTGCTGATCCCTGTGGAAGTTCCAGACCCCCACGGCAGCCCTGGGGAGATGGGGATGTTGCCTGTCCCTTTGTTACCTGGCACAAGGGGATGCAGCAGAGGAGCAGTGCCACTGTCCCTTGCCTGCTGGGATCAGTGGCAATACCTGGTGTGGGTGCCCTCCTGCCAGCCTGGTGGCTGGGTGGCAGCTGGTGAGCGGGAGGAGTGGGCTGTGTGCCCTGGGCAGCCTGCCTTGAATCCAGGGTGGGTCGTCTTGGCTCAAGGTCCTGGTGGCATCTGCTCTGTCTGTGCACTTGTGGCATCACCCGAGGGACCCCAGTGCATGACCCCAGCTCTGTGGGGGCACCTCGCTGAGGCTGGGCAGAGAATGGGCAAGCTCATCACCCAGCTGCTTTCCTTCCTTCTGGAGCTGCTGCGCTTCAAAGTACCAGGAGGTTTTCCTGCAGGAGAA